GGGCGTGGGGGGCGGGCGGGGGGGGGGGGGGCGGGGGGGGGGGGGGGGCCCGTTTTATTGCCAAGTGGCAGGAGCCAGTGGGACGCCAAATTTGCTTCCTCTCCATGCCTCCCGCAGCTATAGTGAGCAGAGCAAGACCAGGTGCATCGGGATGACCATTGAGACTCGACCAGACTACTGCCTCACTCCACACCTCACGGCCATGCTGAGCTACGGCTGCACGCGTCTCGAGGTCGGCCTGCAATCAACCTACGAGGATGTGGCCAGGGACACCAACCGGGGTCACACCGTGGCGGCGGTCGGCGAGTGCTTCCAGCTCGCCAAGGACGCTGGCTTCAAGGCAAGGCCTGGGCGCCAATGAGGGATGGTGTGATGGTCGTGGCGCATGGCACGCTCCTCATCCCCTCCCTTGCCGGCTCTGCGCAGGTCGTGGCGCACATGATGCCGGACCTCCCCAATGTGGGCTGGGAGAGGGACCTGGAATCCTTTAGAGAGTACTTTGAGAACCCTGCATTCCGCTCTGATGGTCTCAAGCTCTACCCCACCCTGGTCATCCGGGGAACAGGGCTTTACGAGCTCTGGAAACAGGGCCTCTACCGCAACTACCAGCCAGAAAAGGTAAATGCGACTGGATGTTTGCATGCGCCGACTCTGACGCATGCTCCCGCCTCCCACCCCAGCATCCTGTTGGCTTTCGCTGCCCTTGTGCCTCCAGCTCCTTCACACCTTCCCCTCTGGCCTTTCGTGCGGCGCAGCTTGTAGACTTGGTCGCCTTGATACTGGACATGGTACCTCCCTGGGTGCGAATCTACCGCATCCAGCGTGACATTCCCATGCCGCTGGTCTCCTCTGGCGTCGAGAAGGGGAACCTCCGTGAGCTGGCGCTGGCGAGGTCTGCGGAGCTGGGACTCAAGTGCAGGGATGTTCGGACTCGAGAGGTCGGCATCCAAGACATCCATAATAAGGTGTGCACCTGACCTGTCACTTCATCGGAGTGGGCATTGTGCTGCTCTCCGAGCGCAGGTGAGGGGTATTGCAATCTAAGGAAGTGCAAGGCGGCGTGCTTACCCCCCCTCCCCCAGGTTCGGGCTGAGGAGGTGGAGCTCGTTCGACGAGACTATGCTGCAAACGGTGGCTGGGAAACATTCTTGTCCTACGAAGATCCCACTCAAGATCTCCTCATTGGCCTCCTTCGATTGCGTAAGGCAAGTTGACATATCTTCCTCGCTGTGCCGGGGACCAGACTCCTCCTTCCCCATTGGGGTCTCAACGTGACTCTCCAATATGACAGGTGTCCGGCCCTGAGCGCCAACCAGAGCTGCGAGGGCGCTGTTCTGTGGTGCGGGAGCTGCATGTGTACGGCACGGCGGTGGCGGTGCATGCCCGGGATGCCTCCAAGTACCAGCATCAGGGGTATGGCGCTCTGCTCATGGCCGAGGCCGAACGCATTGCTGCCTGCGAGCATGGCTCCACGCGCATGGCCGTCATATCGGGCGTCGGCACACGGCACTACTACCGAAGGCTGGGGTACGAACTCGACGGACCGTACATGGCCAAAGATCTAAAACCCCTGGGACCAGCACCCCCCTGCTGGGACTGACTTTTCACCTTCTCTTCCCCACCTCAAGGGGCCATGGGCACACGGACTTTCAGTCTGTGGTAATGGTAAGCTGTTTTATAAGAGAATACGTTGCTCAACGGACGATGGATCAGAATTGGCGTCAGAGCGGGGGGCTGTCTGGGGGGGTGTTGTGGCCGGGCGGCAGTACCACCCACTGAACAACAGGTACCGAATCTCTCGCGATAGGCTTCGGACCACAGGGTCAGCAAAAGTGCCATGCTGGTCAAGGACGGCGCATTTATCCCTCAGACAGATTCCCAGAACTGCAGAGGTCGGAAAGCCTGCCGCCATGATGCTCTCCGTGTCTCACGCGTCCTGCAGGGCTGTTCTGGGCCGCACTGCCGCTCCCTCCATGGCTCGCCCCGCTCGCTGCATCGTGTGCCGGCCTCGTGCGGCAATCTCGCCCGTGAGTCTGGGTTCCTGGAAACAGGCACCACCGATGCATCCTCATTGGTTTCTAGAATACACCTTTCACCAAACCCTTGTCTTTCTCGTACGGTTGCAGGCACACATTGCTGCGGCCACCAGCATGCCCATGAGCCTCCTCTCGGCAAGTCCGGCGCACGCAGTCAGCGAGGTTGCTCAGCTCGCTGATGGTCGTGCATCCCTGCTAGGACTCCTGCTGGTGCCTGTCCTCGGATGGGTAAGCAGAGGGGGCGAGTGAGATTGCATGCTGGATAGCATGGCCAAGATCAACCTGGCTCGGCAGTCGCAATAATTGTCGATCCCCAATCTGCAAGTCACACCCTTTCATTGCCCATGCAGGTGCTTTTCAACATCGGCCAGCCAGCCCTCAACCAGCTCAAGCAGATCAATGACTCCAAGTCTGGGAACACTCCGGGGCGCAAGCGCCGGTCCGTCGTTGGTGCCGCTGGCATCGGGACGGCACTGGCCCTTGCCATGGCTCAGTCTGCAGATGCCGTGTCGGAGATCGGACAGCTGGCGGACGGCCGGGGGAACCTTTTCCTGCTGCCTCTCTTCCCTGCCCTTGGATGGGTGAGTAGGAACCTATAGATTTGGTGTGTGGTGTGGGGGCACATGCAGGGTAGCAATGCGGAGGATCTGATTTTGTCCATTGCGCTCATCCCGTAGGTGTTGTTCAACATTGCCCAGCCGGCCAAGAACCAGCTGGATAACATGAGGCGGTAGTGAGACTTTCGCAATTGATAGGGGGGTGGTTGAATCTACACCTGTTTCCTGGAGCATATTTCTCTGTCTGGACATCTGGCTATCGCTGAACTTTGGAACTTTGGATGTAATACTCCTCCCACGTGTTCCGTAGAGGGGAATGCAAGGGGCTCTCCGCTCTTGGCACGCCTAGGAATCAGCATGCGCCACGCTTCACTCGATACGAGGTTGCATACATAAATACTATAAATGGGCGGCATCGAGACCGGGGTTTAGTGTTTGCGGCTGGTAGCAAGAAATCGATTAGCTTCGCAGGGGTGCACTGAACGCACCCCCCCGCCTGGTCGTGTTCGAAAGGCAGAACCGGATGCCCAGAAGTATATTTTGCCATGTGTGACAATAAACGGCAAGGGCTAGAGGACCCTGTCCCCGAGACTCCCGGAAAACGCCCTCGCGGGACTCCCTCTGGAGGTGCAGCCCTGACATGGAGCAAAGGGGGGTCCCAGCTCAACCTTCACAGGCGTGCTCCAGCAGCGTCGTACATGGTCCGGAGCAGTAGTCAGCCAGTCGACGGTCAGGAGACCGAGACGTCTGCGACCGTCCCTGTGGGACTGCAGGAGCTCCATACCCTCGCCCAGGCAGCTCCATCACCTGTGACTCCCGACGTGGATGTGGCAGGGAGAGAAGCCGTTTGCAAGCGCTTTGAAGGATTACTGGGGTGCCTCACGCGAAGCAAAGATAGCATCAGGAGTACTGCACTGGCTGCCCTGGATTCAGGTACCCATACTTGACTGTATTGGCCTGCAGGGGCATGGCCTGATCTGTACGCGTACTCGGACGCTGCAGAGCATCCTCCATGACACCCACCGTCTGTTCCTCTGCAGCAGGGTCTGGGACCACCTCGCAGATAATCTGCATCATCCTGGAGCAGGCTGAGCGCTGGCAGGATGCTCATTCCCAAGTCAACTTGCTCTACCTCCTGGATGCCATCCTCCAGGTATCGACCAGGGACAGCCTGCCCCTCAGCTCGCATGCTTTTCACCTGTATTGTGTGTTGACCACCTACCCGCGCTCATCCCTCTGCAGCACGCCGCTCGGGATGGCAGACCTGAGTTAGCAGGCTTCAAGAGAGCCATCGGCGCAGGCCTCCTCAATTTTGTAAAGATTCTAGAGCCAGATGAGACGACGCGAGACACGGTGCGTGCTTGACGAGGCCATGTGCGGCTTCATGTGTGGTGTGTGGGGGCGGCTTCAGAGTATCTGGGACATGAAGCAGTTTACCTCCCGACCGCCCATTGCAGGTTTTCAAGGTCATCTCTAGTTGGGGGCGCAAGCAGCTCATGCCGGAGGTGCTGATACAATCAGCCCTGGCATCCATACACCCAGTGGAAGCTCCACCTGAGGAGCCAGCAGAGACTCACCCTGCAGCTACCGCTACTCCCCTGCCTCCTATGCCCAGTGCTGTGGCACCGGGTGTGGATACAGGCCGAAGTACTGCGTTAGCGCATGGTTCTTCGCCAACAGTGCCCCGCGAGCGATCTCCTGAGAGTGCGCCACCAGTAACCTCAGGGGTCAGAGCTGTGAGCGATGAGTCTCATGAGCTCGACAAATTCATGGCGGAGGTTTTCGAGGGAATGCGAGGTGAGTGGGTGGGTGCAGGTGACGAAGCCGATCTACGCGGGGGGGATGGGTACCTGATTGCCAGATGGCAGCACTCAGGTCTTACAGCCTATTATCCCCGGACAGGTGCTGGAAGAGGTAATGCCTCTGGTGCACGGGGGAGTGGTGTTGCGCCGTCGCCCCACGCTCTGCCTCGAAAACCAGCATCGGGTGCAGGAACCAGATCAGTGACAGCATCGAGTGGACCGCCTCTCAGGTCGACCTCGACAGGTGCGCAAGGATGACATTCCTCCAAATGGTTACCCCAATGCTTGCTGCTTGTGTCGACAATCCATCTTCTACTGTTTCCTTTGCAGCAGAGGGAGAACCATCCAATGCACAACAACCTCGGCCTGATGAGACACGTAGACGGAAGTCTGCCTCCCAAACGGGACATCCTGCACAACAGGCCTACGGCTTGGCTGCCAGACCGCCTGCAATCCAGGGCAGGCCACCGCCTACATCTTTCCAGGGACCGGGATGGCGGTCCCCATTGGGGCCACTCCAGTATCACCAGGCAATGCTCATGCAGCCCATGGGCGTGGGAATGGGCCCTTCTCCACCTCTTATCTTTCAAAATGTTCATGCGCACTTTGTTCCCATCATGCCGCCCGCATTGCCTCCATACACGAGGCCCCCTTGGCCACGCTCGACCTGACTTTTCAGTACCTCAGCCCCTGTGCGTGCCAAGTGAGTGCCGCCGCTCGTGCACTCTTGTGGCCCTTGGCCTGCTGTCTTACTCACCATACAACGTGTGTGCCGCCACGAGAACATTATTTGTTTTGCTTCGTCGGGCTGCTGATTGCGGGAATGGTCGTGTCGGGACCCGCTGTTGGGTTCGGATGCTGTTCTGCCAGTTATTTCCATTTCAAGCCATGATGCTGACACTCCTCTCAACTCCGTTTTTGACAGGAGCGAGCTCCTGGCTTCGACGTGTACCTACTCGCAGCAAAGTGTGTCTACACACTGTCATTTTTGGGAAGTAGAGAACTGTGATCGTCCATAAAGTCGCGGCGGGAGGGGGGTTGCGCAAGCACCATCTAGGAAAGCACCGGAGTCCGAATGGAGCAAAGCTGTTGGTTGCATTCCGCTTCCCTCGAGCCCCGGAGAAGCACTCCTCGCCGAGCCTCTCGCACTTGCTTGGTCGTGAAATCAGACATGCACCATGAATGGGATCTTCCAGGATGAGAACTGCGGCATTCCGGGAACACCGTTCCATGGTGCGACGCTGCTCGGGAAGCCTTCCGAGCTCGCCAGTGCCCGTAAACCCCTCGGAAATATAACAAATAGCCGCCTAAACAGCTCCACGAAGCCTTCAAAACCTTATGTGGAAGTACCTGCCCCTCGAAAGACGCTGAGTAGCATCCATCAGCCAGCCCAAGGGCTCACGCAGCTTGCATCAGCAGGCAGGCCGGCAGCCAGCCAGACTGGATACGGAGAGGCAGCTCAGACCACTCGTCTGGATGAGCTTGCGGTTAATCCCCCTGAGAGACCCGCCGGCATGTGCTGGGCACAGCAGGAGCTGGAGGGGAACATGAGGAATGACAAAGAGTTGGAGGAGAGGCTTAGGGCTGCCGCGGTAGTGCTGGGCAGGGCCCGTCTCGTACCGCTTCAAACCAAAGTGAGTGAATGGAGGGTGAATGAATGAAAAGCATCCCAGTTATTGCTTCCTCAGCTGATCCATGCACTTTAACAGGCGGCGAGCAGCCTCCAAGCAGAGGATCTGTACACGGCCGAGCTCCCACCATCACCCCTTCGACCGGCGCAGAATCAGCTAGGTGAGGATGCTGGGCTCGCAGTGTCCTGAATCATGACTGTCCATGCCTCTCATTCATGTTGACCTTTCCCGTCAGCAGGCGATTTTGAGGTTTTGGACGCAGCTGAATTGGTGTGGACGCTGCCTGATGCCGCCTTTCTGTGCGAGGATGATGACGTAGAATTGCACTGACGTAGTGCTCGCTGTATTTCACGTGCTGATTTGCATTGCCCTGTAACATGTACCTTGGCCCATGCAAGTCGAAAGAAGTGTGAGGGAGAGGGCCAGATTGTCACCTGGCGGGAATCAAGGTCGACACGAAACGAAATGAGAATACATTTACGGAATCCACCTTCCCATGACATCTCATTCCCCTCTGCTTGCTAGAGTGACACGAAATGATCCCTTCGATGAGCTCGTAGCGACCTGTGTGTTCTCTTCGTGCTGCCTTGCACCCCTGGGACGGCGAGCGACTCTTGGTCGCGGGATCGCTGTGAAGAGCCGAGAAGCCTCTTGCAGCGCTCGGAGCCATGAATATTATCGATATCAAGGACAGAGCAGGCGAGCTCGCGAGCAAGTGAGTTGCTGGAGGGGGCGGTTGTTGGAGGTGCACGCCTTCGCCTGCCTCCGTGCTCATGCTGCTCACTCCTCATTCCAGGTATGAGAAGTACCTTGTAGAAGAACCTCAATTCCGTCCAAAGTCTGGAGATCCTTTTGTGGATGAGTACCTTGTACTGGTAGACCGCATCCAGGATCTCACCCTGGTGGGTGGGTGTCGCGTCGTTGGTGGCGGGTAAGCTCTCTCTCTGTTCCATTGCTGGCGCACTGCACACCGTCCCTCCTTCCGTATTCGTGCAACAGAAAGCCGAGGAGGTCGCTCAGGAGAAGAATCGAGCGCTGAAGGCTGCTCTCAATGCCGAGCTCCGCAAGGACAAAGGGAACCTCTTGGACTCTGCCATACCCAAGCTTGCCACCATTGCCAAGGACATGCGTAAGGGGTCAACACAGGAGGCGGCCCAGCTACGGGAGCAGCAGGTGTGAACAGGTTGCCAGGCAGCTTCCAGAGGCACCGCATGCCTTCTGCACGGCGTGTGACAGGGTGCCTGCAAGCGCAACAGGTTCACGCCAATCCTGATGTTTGTTGGTGCACCCTGCAACCATCTGACAGGTCCAGGAGCTGGCTCAGACCGTAGACGACATCCCAGACGGCATGGGAACGATGCGCTCACCTGGAAGGGTAGGATCAGCTGGGAGTTTGAGGTTAAAGAGGTGGCGAGGGATGTCCTGCCCGTCTTTCCTTGGAAACTTTGGATGCCATACAATTCATGTGCATGCATGAGGTGCAATGCTCACTCCCTACCAGCCCAATCAAATGTTCATTCTCATGTTAGTGAGCTTGTGGAAGCCTGCTGTTATACACCGTCCTCCTATCCAAGGACTCCCCAAACTGCACTCTGTATTTGCAGCCCCTACTCGGAGGTGGCAGCGTGTATGCACCTGGGAGCAGCATCACCATCAACCCTCTCAAGTTGGACGGGCGTTTCCAGAGTGCGGAGCACTACCAGCACACAGACCAGAGCAAGGCTTTCATCTCTGAGGCTGAGCAGGCGGAACGGCGGCAGAACCAGGCTCTTGAACGGATCGAGAATGGGCTGGGCACGCTCAAGGGTGAGTATTTTGAGCTGCGTGGGCATCTCAGAGGACTGGAGATCACGCGGTCTCAGCGCTTACCATGTGGGCAGTGGTCGTGCATGCCTGAAGCTCGGTACCTCATCCACCTGCAACCATGGCCTTGCAGAATTGGGCACCGCGATGGGCGAGGAGATCCAGAGGCATGATGTGATCATCGACGAGGTCAATGCCAAGATGGACACGATCACAAGCGACCTGAAAACAAACAACATGCGCCTCAAGGGCCTAATTACCAAGGTGCGCCGGGAGCCTGCGCGGGGCTAATGGTGTTCCACCTAGGGGTTGCGCTTGGCTCAAGCCAGGGTTTCCTCAGCAGACTCAGAGACCACTCCTTAAATGCAACAGGTCCGCTCCTCCAGAAACTTTTGCATCGACGTCATCCTCATCTGCGTCCTGCTGGCACTTGGGCTGTACATCTACATCATGCTGAAGTAAGGGGGCTCCGGCTAGAGAACCGGTTCTGAGATGGTCGATCTGGCGCGCTGCCGTTTCGGCGACCCGATCACGGCTGCTGAGGAGCATACCCCCCTTGTGTACAACGAAACTATCCCTAAAGTGTAAGCTGAATGCATGTTTGAACTAAGAGTAGGAGAGTGACCAAGCCAGCGTAAGAAGGGGATGATTTCCACCATGGAAGCGGTCTCCTAGTGCCCGACTCACAAGACGAGAAAGGAGGGTCGAGTATTGAAGTTCAGGGTCCACAGGCAGCATACATTATCAAAAGCTATATCCTTGTCCGATGAGGGGCCGCTATGATCACCGCAGACCCCCTGTTCCGAGCTCGGTGTACCGCACAGACCCCGTACACAGCGTGAGCAGCGGGGACATGGGTGTGCGCCCTGATCAGGGTCGCACTTGTAATTAAACTCCCGCACACCACTCCAACCCACCTCCGCAGAGCCCGGAGTACGACGGAGGTGCCGCGTCTTCCCTGTCCTCCCTGTCCTCCCTCGCAGGGCGCTGGGCAAGCACCCTGCGCAGCTCCATTCTCCTCCTGGGCTCCCTTGCCTGCGCAACCCTTGCCGTGGTGGGCTGCCTCCTGCTGGGCTACCTGCTCCTCACCCGAGCCCTCACCCCTGAGCGGCACAGCCATGTGCGCACGCTGCACCTGGATTTTTCGAGTGGGGACATGCTGGCAGAGGCAGTGTTCCTGCCAAAGAAACGCATCGAGGACGAGGGGCTGCTGACGACGCTGCCGCGCGATCTGAGGTGGGGTCTGTTGCTGCTGCTGCCAATGGGTTGGACTCACTTACCTGGGACTCTAAAGCCCGTCCCCAAATCTGGCCGGGTGACATCGTCCTTCATCACCCCCTCGGCCAGGTTCTTGCCCCCCGGGGAAGCCATTGATGTCTCGCTGGAGCTGCGGGTGCCGGGCACGCGTTTTGAGGGCGGCATGGTCCAGGCCGTGGCGGAGCTGCAGACCGCAGATGGCAGGCTGGCGGCCCGAACCAGCTCCGCCATCCGGCTGCACGGGCGGCGACGCAGCCTCTGGTGAGGTGCTGGGTGTGGCAGAGGCTGCTGTTGTTTAAACAGCAGTAGACCTGGGATTGCTGTCATCCATGTGCAGGACTGGTCTGGGACGAGCTGACACTCGTACCACACCCCTGCCTACAGGTCCTTTGCTACGGCACCATATCGATGGGTTGGGGTGTTGGGCGACGCACACATCATCAAGGTCCCGCTGTTCATCCGATACTCTGAGAAGGCAGGCCTACCCTTTGTACGCTTTAAAGCTGCGCTGAAGGTAGGCCTGGTGCAGTGGCAGGAGGATGGGCGGTCGGTGAACGACTGCTCGTGTGAAGTGTGGGAGAAACGCATGCACCAGGCGCTCTGTTTGCCGGCCGCAACGTGGGGGCTTCAGCTCACAGATCAGCCCCTCACCCTCTCGAATCACACATCTCACCCCAGTCACCTCACGCCAAGTGGGTGCCGGAGATCCTGTCCGCTCAAGTGCGTGTGAACGTGCGGCTGGGCCTGGTGCGAGGAGCGCTATACTGGATCAGACCCAACGTCTTGCTGGGACTGCTGCTGGCAGCAGGCGCAGTGTGCGCGGCGGTGGGCGGCTCCATCACCTCCCTCGTGTTCCTCGGGCTCTGGATTCAGTCGTGTGGGGGCCGGGGGAAGGGGCCAGCTGTGGAACCAAGTGCTGAATCCCAGGCAGATGAGGCGGAGTTGCTGCAAGGGCACCACGCGGAGCAGGCCTCGGACGTTGACTCAGAGGCGCTGGAAGGTGAGAAGCTGGCTCAAGCTGGTGACGGGCCCCTGCCTGGCAACGCGATGTACTCTGCTCATGGGCAAGACCCCCCTGATGGGGAGTTGCATTTGCTTGTGAGCCAAGAACAGGATGCCGAGTTGGCTTGTTCATTGTCAGGCAACTCTCCTCCTGCTCTCCACCCTGCAGCCCTCCTGTATGATGGGGAGGAAGTGTCTGCAGAGAGAGTGCCTAAGCCCGCCCCCGATCATGACTGGCATGAAGTCTTGTCAGATCCTGGATGCAGTGCAAGTCAGGTGGATGGCAAGGCCTGGGATGCCCACCCGTTTACAGACCGCAGCTCTCCCTTTGAGGGCATGAAGTCGAGGGATGCTCTCCGCAAGCGATTTTGACTGTGTATACTGTAGCAGGTGCCCGTCCCTTAGCGTTGTATACACCGTGTGCTGCGCATGTCGGCGCACAAACTCTGCCTCGACGCCCATTCTTGTGCCGTTCTAGGATACAAATTGTACAAAGACACACTCAGGGTCACGAAGGGGAAGAAGCCCACGCCATACGGGGAGGTTGTGCCTACTATCAGCGCAGCTTCCAGCTGAAGCTGCTGCTGGACGTCTGTCCTGGGGGCAGGAGCCTCTGTTCGCCGTTCCCGGGCCCTGTGCCCGCCGGAGTAAAAGCGCGCCGCCCCCCCAGGTCACCAAACAGGTCATCTATTCGGGCTTCCGAGGCAGGGCGCGCCACATCGTCCTTGTTACGTCCCGCACTCGCAATCTGCGGCGCAGCGTGCGCGGCGTGCGGCGACGAGCGACCCCGTTTTTCCGTCATCGCCATCTGCACCGCCACTTGCTGCCGGTCGCTGCCTGCACTCGCCGCTGCAGAGGGGTCACGGCCTTCGGAGCCTGACACGCCAAAGAGGTCAATGCCATCGCCCACGGCACCGCCCCGCAGCAGTGCATCCTGCTCCGCCAGCACCAGCCGCTGCCCCTTGCTGCTGTGCTCGTCATCTGCTCGCTCCTGACGATGGCAAGGGGCGGCAGCCGCGGCGGCGGTGGGTGAGCTGGCAGACAACAGTCAGCTGAGCACAGGGCCACGGTTGCAGGAGGAAAGCAAGCTTGCCACCGCGGCGCCGGGACCCTGCGAGTACAGTCACACCTCAGCAAGCACATATATCCCTCTGTACGATAGGCCCTTTCACTCACCACATCGAATCGGACGGCCTCTGAGATGAAGAACTTGGAAGCACACTGCTCCCAGAGGTTGAAGGTCAGGAGCAGAACATAGACCACCAGGAGGAGCGGGAACCAGGTGTTGAAGCTCTGGCCAAGGATGGGCACATCCTGGAAAGCACTGCCCATCTTGGCGATGAAGACCATTTGCTGCGGGTGTGGAGGGAGAAAGGCTGTTCTTGACGGGGCCGCCTGCTTCAGTATGCCCGGGCAACCAGGTAGCCACACGTGTCCACCCAGCGCCCATGACCGCAAGCGCTGCCCGCGCTGAGGCATGGCGCGGCCCACCTGTCCGTCCTTGAGGTACTCGTTCATACGGATGACATGCAGGAAGTTGTAGCAGAGCGGGGCTGCAAAGCGCGCCAGCAAGCTGCCGCTCAGCAGGAGTGATCTCGACCATGTCGCGCCAGGGACCTTGTGGGTGAGGAGCGTATGGAGCGTGCATTGAAATGCACCGCAGGGCTGCCTTGCATGCCCCTGTATCCATGGCATCCACAAGCACCCATCAGAGCCCCGCATCTGCTGGGCCCACTGTCTGATACTCCTGTGCCGGTACAGGCTTTCCCCAGCACCCCCAAAACACCACAGACACACACTTGCTCACCATGTGATAGAACCCAAAGTTCCCCAGCTTGAAGAGGGAGAAGTAGGTGCAGGCGCACATGTATGCCAGCGGCGCCGCCACGATGAGCTGCTCCAGGAACTCCCGCCTGGCGACGCGCGTGTGTATCGCGAGCGAGAAGGGGGACAGGTCTGGGCTGCGCCCCGACCCGATCGTGGCCTCCGCCCAGATGATGGTCGCCGAGGTGGCCACCGCCAGCAGGGCCTGCAGGCATAGCACCCAGGGCCTGATGTTGCATGTGTAGTACCACCCCCCCGTGGCAGCCCAGGAGGCGGAGCCGGGAGGGGGGGGTGTACACGCCCAGGGACCGCGACTTGCACACCGCCTGGAGGTGCATTGCCCGCCGCGCGTTGATCACATACTCGCCGCGGCACCCTGGAGGTTGGGGTATGGAGGAGGCGAGGGGTCCCCTTGGTGAGGCGGGCACGCGGCAAACACCAGGCCTATGCTGACGGCATCGCATGGGCGAGCCCCCTTTCCCCTCGACACAGCGTCGCTCACCCACAAAGTGGGCGATGGCAGCCTTGCAGCGCGCACGGAGCCGTGTGAGGCCCGCCTCATCCGAAGCGTAGTCGAGGTCCGACTCGTCCAGCAGATCGATGTTGACCCGCGGCCGGCCCAGCACCGTGAAGTGCACTGGGGAGTACAGTTCCAGGTACCTGTGGGGTGTGCTGGCACGAGTCGGGATTGCAGTGCTGGCGCCGAGGATGCAAGCGGGGACCCCTAGCCTCAGCATCGATTCCGAGCCACTTGCGTGGCGCTGCGCCGGCCTTCGTAGGCCCGGCCAACCCTGAACCAGGCAGACCCCCCCACGCCCACACATCCTCAAGCGGCCGCGCACTTGACCACTGCATCTGACAGGGGGCGCAGGTGTGCGTCCGACCGAGAGATCTGTTGTGTGGTGGCCAGCGCGATGGCGAGCACCTTTTCCAGCTCCGTCGAAGCATCTGCCAGCTTCTCGGCGGAGCGACCCACCCTGCAGGCGATGTAAGGCAGGCCAGCGGCTTCACATCTCGGGCATGGAGAGGGCTTGCTGGGGCGAGCTACTGGGCGCATGTCGAGGGAGGCAAACCCGCTGCAGGACAGGCCTCCTTCCCAAGTATTCCCGGGCACTACCTGTGGTAGTGCCACTTCAGGCGTGACTCAGGGAAGGAGCGACGCCACAGCGTGCGTGGCACCTCCACAAGGCCATAGCCCAGCAGGGCTATGATGACAAAGAGACCATAGGCATTGGACAGGGTGACAACCAGGGCTGGGACGGTGGAGAGCTGAAGGCGGTGTGTCAGCAGTGCCACGATGCCACCTGAGAATGGGTCAAGGTGGGAGGGGAGGGGAGGGAAGGGGTTGGCATCGAGGCGCCCTCATCAGGTGACCCCAGGATGCGGGATTGTGTCGCGGGCCACACAGTGCCCTGTGCTCCCGGCTCACCAATGATGCACAGGGTGATGATTACCAGATAGAAGAGCCACAGTCTGTGCAGTGCATCTCCCAGTCGCTTGAGGACTGAGAAGGCGCCAGACACCACGTAGTTCTGCATGATGGGGATCAAAGCCCATGTCAGGACCTGCGTGGACCTGCAAAGTGGGGAGTGTGGGCACACGTATGTTTGTGTGGGCAGGGCAGAAATCTGGGCGCATTACAGCGTCACCTGCCCCCCGCCCCCCCTCCCCCCCCCCTCGCAACTGACCAGTACGAAATGGTCCAAAGCATGTCGAGCGCCGGGACCGGACGCTCAGATACGGTGGAGTAGACATCGATGGGGACGAGAGATATCACAGAGAGGGAGGTCAGCCACGCCGCGCAGGTGATCGCCACGGACAGGAGCGATATCCGAGGGGCGACATACCTCTTCGTCCTGTCAGGGCGGTGGGTATGCGGGCGAAAAAATGACACCGGCGAAGCTCTCTATCAACCAGCACGATCGAATCCCTCATTCAAAGCACCACTCATCTCACATGACCGCTACGGACGCCAACACAAGCCCCATGCTGATGCTGTAGAACGCCCACATCTTTGCGGACACCCAGCGATCCTTGGAGGGCCCAGAGCAAGTGCTCGCTGCCCAATGGGCACGAACTTTTTTGAAGCTACCTTATCTTGTCAACGGCACCACCGACTGTGGCCTGCAGTGTAGCACATTGGTTTGTTGGCCACGGAAGTTCGATCGGGAGTCATCGAGCTCGCGCGCTCTGGTTTAAAAGATCCATGGCGCACCCTGCGGTGTGCATGCGCGTCCCATACCCGCAGCGTGACTCGCAACATCCTCCTGATACGTTGGAACCGGTTTCTAAAAATGTCCTGATCAAGCCGGCGCTGCAACCCTCGGCGAAACCGGGGTGCCGGAGAATGACGGAGGGTGGGAACATCCCTCCCTTCCAGGGTCAGCCTGGCGGCAATGGAGCTCAGTCCAATGTGCCCAGCCCCGAACAGGATGGTAGAAGACTAGGGAAGGACCTGCTGTCGAGGCTACAGGCCGTGTCTGTCCAATCTCCTGGGCCGCAAAGGCTGGGACCCGGCAGTAGCCTTGGGCCCCACCTGCCTGGCCCTGCACATCCTGGCGTGCCTCCCTCGTACCTAGATGTGCACCATGCCGGAATGCATCCATTATTCGGCGCCCAACCGCCTCCATGGCAGCCCTGGGGAGCACACCAGCCCCATGCCATGGGCCCATCCCATCAGGGCCCATATACTCTGCCCCCTGGCATGGAGATGGCGGCGCCCAGGATCAGCCTGGACAGCCAGCAAAATCCTGCCCGAGTCCCCTCACCCATGGAGGGAAGTCTACAGCGGGATTCAGTTCACCGCCAGCTGATTCAGGTCCAAGTGGACCCTCGGCAGCCAGCGCCAACCCCCCTCATCCACCAGCCTCTGCAGCCACCCCCGGGCTTCTCCCGGCCTCCCTTTGGTGTACCTCTGCCAATGCCACAGCACCCTCACCCCAGCACCAGTGATGGTCAGGCCCAGGCCCATCCATGGACCCACCCTGTGCACCCTTCGATGGCCCCACCGGGCCCGCTCTTGCCGATGCTGCCCCCGCTCGTGGAGTTCCCCGGCGACCGGTTGCTCACCAGGGAGGAAGCCGCTGCGCTCCAGGGACCTCTCTCGCGCCAACTGGACGGCCTGCTGGCAGCCGCCACGCAGCTCATAGAGGTAGGGCAAGCTGCCTCTCCAGCCGTGCCCCTGCTCCTGCGTGGGCTGGAGGCGACCAAGGCTCAGCTGGGAGCTGTAGCACAGACCCTCTCCCAGCATCAGGACCCTGCTTTGGGGTCCGAGGCTGCTCCTGCAGCCGAGGGTGAACCTGCTGCCGAGGGCGATGTGCCACATGCCGAACAGGCGAAGGCCGGCGAGGTGGGGCCGGGGCAACCGGGCGGAGCTGCAAGCACCGCCTCCATGGCCAAACATGGTGGGGCGAGGAAGGAACCTTACAAACCAGCTCCTGGGCGGGAAGGCAGGTGAATAGAATTGCTGGGTGGTGGAAGAGCATACCACACCTTGGTGTTTGTGGGTCGAGTCAGTTGTGGGGCCTGCAAGAGCTTGCATCAGGAATTGATGTATTTACTCCCTTCCTCTGTGTCAACTTCCAATGCCACCAAGCATGCAGGTGGGTGGATATCATGGATGCAAGGCACGACGGGCGACGGCCGGTGACAGACTTGAATCGCCTGAACGCCGGCCTGATGACCCTGCTCCAGTCCCTGACCCCCACCACCGGTAAGCTGGGAGGCGTAGTGCTCGCAAGAGACACGGCCCAGAAGTGCTGCTGATGGATTTGGAGACAAGCTGAGGTGATGCTGATGCTTCAAGCAACCGAGTTATGCCTGGCTAGTTTTTAATCAACATGTGACCTTTCCTACACAGAGGAGCTGGCGGTCCAGGATGCGTCGCTGCAAAAGGTGACGTCGCTGCTGAAGGAGGCATGGCCTGGCGCGAATGTCGAGCTCTTTGGGTCTGTCGCCAATGGGCTGAGTGTCCGTGGCACCAACGACCTGGACATCTGCATGCAGCTGCCTGAGTCGTCTGATGCCAAGGTAAGACTCAGGGCAGGGCTGGGTAGGAAGCTTGCCTCAATGAAATCGAAGCTTTCAGGCTGCTTGTCCTGTCCTTGGAGAGTCGTTCACACTTTGCAATACCTACCCCTGCAGGAGTCCAAAGTGGAGGCTGCACTGCGGGTGGCGGAGACCGTTTGGGAAGCGGGCATGGAAGATGTGAAGGACCTTCCCGGCGCCAGGATTCCTGTTGTCAAGTTTGGGCTCCCCGGCACGGCCCTGCGTGTCGACGTGACCATCGACAACGATCTGGCCTGCGCAAACACGCGCTACCTGGCAGCGTACGCCGCCATCGACCCACGCTTCCGGCAGCTGGTAAGCCGTAGCCTGTGGCAGGGGATTCTCCCTGCCTGCTCCTACACTGGCATGGGGAGATGGAAGGGGGTAAGCGATGGGCGGGTTGGACAGAGGAGACTTACAGGAGCAAAAGGATTCGACTCCTCTTCTCTACACCCTCAAACTTGCTCTTCGCATGCATACTTGCCCTCAGGTGACCATCGTGAAGCACTGGGCCAAGCGGCGGAAGGTGAACGAGCCGTACACTGGCACCCTCTCTTCCTACTGCTATGCGCTGATGTGTGTACACCTGCTGCAGACCCGGTCGCCCCCAATCCTGCCGGCCCTGCAGCTGCTGCCCCACACCCACACCGGCAGCATCCAGGGCTGGGATGTGGGCCACTATGATAAGGTATGTGCCGGGAGGGGCTGGTTTGGTTGTCGGGTTGTGCAGGCCGGCAAGTCATGGATCATTCCTCATGTGTCATTCATGCCACACCCATCCCTCGCGACCCGCAGGTCGAGACGCTTCAAGACTTTGGCAATGCCAATACACAAACCCTGGCTGAGCTGGTGTGGGACTTTTTCGAGTACTGGGCCTGGGGCCACGACTACCGCAGCACTGTCATCAGCGTGCGGACCGCTGGGACCCTCACAAAGACGGAGAAGGGCTGGGCGCAGAGGGTGGGGCGAGAAAGGCACCTGGTGAGGCGGCAGGAGAGCTGGTTGATAGGCATGGGGCGATGAGAGTGGCACAGATCGCTGTTCAACGGCAGAAGCGACTTGAAGGATGCCCTCTGCATGCGCTCAACCCCGAGACCTCTCTTCACACTATCTGCAAGGTGTGCATCGAGGACCCTTTCGAGCTGAGCCACGACCTGGGGCGCACCGTCGACCGCCAGACCAGTGGGGTGCTGCGGAAGGAGTTCCTCCGGGCCGCCACACTCCTCCGTGACTCCCCAAACCCCCTGCACCAGCTGTTTGAGCGTTTCATCGGGAAGCACCATGCAGAGACCTGACGCGCTGCGTTGCGGCATTGTTTGACAACCCGGAGCATGCGTGGAGTGGTATTAAGTGAGGGGTTGAATGGTGCAGGGGGAGCAGCTGGTTGACACGGTGGGTCAGCTAGATGTCTGGCATGTCGGGCAGGCCCAGGACAGGGGGCGGCCCGCTGCTCAGGTTGGGGTAGGGCGCTCGCCCAAAGGGTGGTGGGCCCTGCGCCGTCAGGGGCGTGTAGGGCGGGAGGATGGCGGGTGCCCCACTGGCAGCTGGGCCGGGGCCTACGGGGCGGCCGAGCGATGCATCGCCCTCCTCGCTGGCCGCTGCTGCCGCCTCCTCTTCCAGGAAGTCTATCCAGGAGGTCGCCAAGGAGGACGCGGGCTGGGGCGCCGCGGGCGTCGACCGACCCACCACATCCCCCGCCAGACTCGTGCTGCCCGTCCGCCGGCCTGTGGCGCGCTGGCTGGCGGCAATCTTTCCCTTGTCCTCGTCCGTCAGTCCAAGGATCCTGCGGTGGGGTCTGGCTGAAACTCAGCACCGGGGCCTGGTGGACTCTGCAGCACTCCTCACATGCAGACCCAAGACCCTTTCAGCCGGAAGGGTAAAGGAGAATGCACGGGGGATTTGTGTAGGAAGAATCGTGCCGAGGTTCAGCGATGGGAGGCTCAATGGCCTCCACCACCCCACCCCACCTGGCCATGAGGTCCAGCACCTCGCCGCTCCCGCCTCGCTCGAAAAAAGACACCAGCATCTTGACGACGATGCGCCGATCTATGCTGGCCCCGGCGTCGGCGCTCAGCGAGGCCGCGCGCCTCTCCGCGGCCTCACATGCGCGCTGCGCCTCGGCCAGACGCACGGCGGCTGCCGTGGTCTCCCTCCTGGCGGCCGCGGCGGCCGCCTCCGCCTCCTGGGCTCGGGCCACGGCCTCGCGCCTCTCCTCCTCTGCCCTCAGCGCGGCCAGGCGCTGGGCGTCACCCTCGTTCCGGGCGCTGGCCAGCGCCGACGTCAGGGCCACGGCCTCGCCGCGGAGGCGCTCCGCCGCCTCGCTTTCGTAGGACAGCTCCTCTGGTGATGGAGGGGGTGACAAGGGGAGGGTGGGACCGGGCAATGTGACTGGTACACAATCACGGCGTGTGATTCGTAGGATGATACCGAGCAGAGGGAGTCACAGTGCACAGAGTTCAGGGCCATCTATAGGGGAGAAAGGTGGCTCCCCACGGCAACCTGATGCTGGTGGCATGCCGCCGTGCACTCTGCGGCGAGTCACAGCCCCTACCCCCTTGAGGCACAGTTCATACTCGCACTCACCCAGCGCATGGTTGAGGTTTGCCAGCTCCGCATCCCGCGCCGCGGCGGCGGCCTGCCACTTCGCGGCTTCGGCGCGGGCGGCGTCGAGGGCCTCGGACCCCGCCTCGGCGACCTCCCCCGACCTCCTCAGCCGCTCCAGCTCCATCTTGACCTCCGCGTCCACGCGCCACCTCACCTTCTCCTCCTCGTCGTCCTGTTCCGTCAGCATCTGCTGCTTTAGCCTCGCCAGCTGCTGCCTCGCCAGCGCAGCCCCGGCCGCTTCGGCCTCCAGCTCGCGGAGCCTGCGAGATGGCGGGGGGAGTACGCCGTCGTAGCCTGGCATGGAGCATGGTGTTTGCCCCCCCACTGCATGAAAGGTGCTCCACCTGTGCAGTCGCCCATCGCAATGCCACTGCCCCCATCGCAAACCTCTCTGGCATCACCTGGCACGCAGGGCGGCAACCTCAGCCTCCAGCTCATCTGCCAGAACCCCTGCACCGGCGGGCAAAGGACTGGACGATGCAGCGGCCGCTGCGGCCCTGAGGTCTGCCTCCAGCAGCGCCACCCTGTCCCGCGCGGCGGATGCCTCGGCCACGGCGGCGTTCTTCTCGCTTTCCAGGAGGTCCAGCGCCCCACGCGCCTCGTCCAGGTCCCGGCCGAAGCGGTGTGCCTCCCTCTGTGCAGCGCTGGCCTGGGCGCTGGCCTGAGCGGCGGCCTCCCGTGCCTCGGACACCTCGCGCCGCAGCCGCTCCTCGGCTTCAGCGGCGCGGGCGGGTGAATGGGCGCTGGCGAGGTGGGCCTCTGCTGCCCTGGCTGCATCCAGCTGCCGCTGTGGCAGGTGTGCAGGGAGGATCACAAGGATAAGGTTGAGCCGGGACAGAAGCTTGCGATCCTCTGTGAAACAGTGTCCCTCCACTATGGCTCAGAAAGCCACATCCACCAACCACCGCACCTGGAGGACAGCCAGCGCCTGCTCAGCCTCCTGCCGCACGCTGATGGCTTCCTGTCGGGCAGCCTGGACCTGACCCTGCAGCTCTGCAGCCTCAGCCCTCGCATCGCCCAGCTCGTCGCGGGAGCGGGCGGCCTCCTGCTCTCGCGCGCGCGACGCGGCCTCCGCCTCCCCCTGCGCCTGCGCCAGGGCGTCGTGCATGCTTTCCAGCTTGACCTCGTAGGATGCGATGTCGCGGTCCCGTGACGCCAGCTCACGCTGCAGGGTCTGCACATCTCGCTGCCTGGGTGGCCAGGATAGCAATTAAGGGGAGGCTGGATGCTCAGCAGCTTGCGTCAACCAACCGGCATTTCCGCCTCCATCGAAGGCCTTCAGTATGATCCACCACCGGCAGCGCAAGCAGACCCCACTCCAGCCACTGCCGCCACCCCAGCACTCACAAGGAAGCCAGCATGGCAGAAACCTCTTCCTCCTGGGAGGCATCCTGGGCCTGGCGTCGCTGCGCCTCCTCACCCTGCGCCTCTTCCAAGCGAGCCCGGGCTTCCTCCGCCTGGCAGCCGTGTAAGGTGTGGCGCAGTTGCATATGCAGCATGCTGCAGGAAATCCTACCTTCTCAGCATCATGCCCTTGCCCTAGCACCCCCCACCGACCTCTGCAAGCCTCAGCTTGAGCAACTCCAACTCCCTGGCTTGCCGAAGCAGCTGCGGGTCCACCTCCCGCCGGTAGGCCGCCGCCGCCTCCTCAGACGCCGCCTCCCGCCGGCTGGCCTCCTCCGCCGCCCGGCGCAGGTGGGCAACCTCGGCACGCTCAGCCTCCACCTCCCTCGTCAGCGCTTCGATGCTGCACTGGTGGGAGGCGGCCCTGGCCTCGGCCTCGACAAGACCCTGCGCGACACGTGCCTCCTGGCTGGAGTGCGCCTGGGCCAGCTCGAGGCGCAGGGCCTGCAGCTGTGCCTGCGCCTCGGCCTTGGCGTCACACAGCAACGCGATCTCCGCCTGAGCGGCCTGCAGCTCTCTCCAGCTTCCCTCTCCAGCTGCGTGTGCGGAGGAGTCTGGCGCGGCGCCCCCCGCTGGAAGAGGGACTGGGATGGTGGACACGGGCGGCGCGCCGGGCTCGCTGTCTGTCGCTGACAGCGCATGGTCCCCGGCAAACCAGGAGGCAGCGTCAGCCACTGAGGACCCGACTGCATCCTGTTCATCCGCACTGGGGTGTGCTCCCGCCAATGAAGCTGCGGGCCCCAGTGCAGGTGTCTGCGCCGTCTCTGCGGGCGGCTTGTGCGCTGGGCGCTCATCCCAGCTGAACGATTGCCGTGGAGGCTCTTCCGGAGCACGAGCCTCCGCCTGTACAGCCACCGGTGCGTCAGCGGTCAGCGGCGTGGCTGGGTGCTGTGCAGCAGCTGTGGTGGGCAGGGATGGCGGAACCAGGGCCGCGTTCGGCGCCAGAGCAGAAGGTAGAGCCACCACAGGGTCTTGGGCGTTGGTACCAGCCGGCAGGATCTGTTGGGGCTGGAATGGCCCAGAGTTTTGGTTGGAGAACGGGCTGCCTGTCGTAGGCTGAGGAGCGGGGACAAAAGGCATGGGCTTTGGCAGCCAGCTGATGGTCCTCGCCGTGGCGCTGCTGGTCGGTTCCTTCCCTTGCTGCTGCTGCTGCATGCTCGGGAGGGCCCGGCTTGGAGCGTATGCTGCAAACATGTTGCCGGCGGCGGGCTGGGGCGGCAGGATCGATGCTGGCCCGGGACCTGGAGGGGCAGGTTGTTTCGTCGCCGGGATCTGAGCCATCGGAGATGGAGGCACGAGGCTGAGGGCCCCTCCAGGTCTTTCCTGGCTTGCAGCCGGAGGATTTGCCTCTGTCACTGCCGGCTTGGCGCCGCCAACCTGCAACTTCAGTTTCAGCGCTGCCAGACGCGCCGCTACATCGCCGGATGTGGATGGCGAGGCGGGCGGGGCGGTGCTTGCACTGGGCACTCGCGGAGGCTGCACCTCCTCTCTGGCCGCCGCCGCAGGTTGGGGCACCCACGTGGTGGCCGTGGGGGCAGTGCCTGGCTCGCTCTGAAATGCCGTGCTGATGGGGTGCTGGATTGGTGCAAAGGACTGGCTGGGTTGATGCGCCGGCTCCTGCTGCTGGAAGGGATCGCCATAGTACGGCTGGTCGTGGGCTCCAACGTCACCAACTCCTTGGTTCTCGCGCTGCGCTGCACTCGACCAGTCCTCCTGTGCCAAAACAGGTGGCGGGTTGATCGGCACACATGGAAAGGATGCGAAACGGTGATACCGGATGTCGTTCTTCACCTACCTGGTGAATGGATCGCAGCTCGTTGGCGGTTTCGTAGGCTTCGGCAGCAATGACTTTGGCCGTGCTCTTCACTCTGTTGGCGACAGCGTTGAAGGAGTTCCACATCGCGTCACGGTGACAGCACCCCTAGGGAATAGCAATGTTGGTAAGCTGCACTCGTCATCACAGACCTTCCATAGAATGTAGGTCGTTCTGTGGGATCCCAGGTGTGCGAACATGCTCGACCAGGTCCAGTAACTCGTCCCTTGTTTGAAGACGTCCGGAGCTGTAATCGGGGGAAAGCACGGGAGGGCGCCCTGGGTGATCTCTGGGTGAGCAGGAGGGGTGGACAACCCACAGTGCACAGCCTGGCATACATTTCACCTTCACCACCCAAAGTTCTTATTGGTGGGTGCCTCGGTGGGGGCTTGCATTGCGGGAGGCACCCGGGTGGGTGATCAGCCATGGCGCTTGCGCGCCTGGCTCGCAGTCTGAGCCAGGCTTGCCGATGTCCTACCCAGATTTCGAGAGCTTACCATGCAACCTCCCAAGGAACCCTGAAGGCGTGCCTCGATTCGGGGCCACGGACCGACAAGGGCTTCACGGCCGTGCAAGGCCTGCAGAGGACGCACTCCCGGCTGGGCGCGCTTGGCCGCGGCCTGCGTGCCATCAGCACTGCAGAGAAGGCTGGAAACGCCATCAGGAATGCAGCCGCATCCACGGGAGCTGCAGCCAAGGGCATGGCGGGCGCGCTGGCCAAGGTCCCCAGCACCGCCTACTCCCTGCTTCCTGCCCAGGCCCGCTTGCTGGCCGAGGCCACCTCCAAGCCGGGCGTGGTCCAGCGGGTCATCTCGCTGCAGCTCAACTCCTTCTGGCAGCAGCATGGGAACAAGGTGTATGCCGTGGGCGGCATCTTCCTGGCCTACTGCCTCTGGCGCACCATGTATGGGGTGGCCTCCACCTTCATCAACCTGTCCGAAACCATGGCGGCCGGGGGTTTCCTGGTGCGTCTGTGTGGGCGTGGAGGGGTGCCAGGGAATGGATGCAACGATTGATCAACAGACCCCGCGATGTTCCGTGCCTCAGAAGTGGATGCCGCTCCTAGTGCGGAGAGCAACACGGGGGCCTGTGTGCGATTCTGTTTCACTTGCATCATGGCCCGGCCGGGATCCGCGATGCATTGCCACCCCCGTCACCCCTCAAGCGCGTCGCTCCCAGTCCCTGGCATGCCATGGCACTCGCAGGCGCTGTCGGTGTCCCTGGTCATCCTGGGGGCGCTCTACCTGCGGCGCAAGTACACCATAGACCCCAACACCGTCTACCGCCTGGCCATGGTCCGCCTGAACACACACCCGGGGCTGCTGGAGGTAATGGGCGCCCCCTTGGTGGGCTCCCCGGTCAGGGCTACGGTGCTGACAGGTGGCAAGCTGCGGTTCAAGGGCCTGGTGCCGCGGATCCAGTCGCGGAGAGCCCAGATCATCTTCCCCCTGCGCGGCAGCGAACGCAAGGGGCTGGCATCCCTGGAGGCCAAGAAGCGCAAGGTTGGATGTGCCTCCTTTTAAATGGGGAATGTGTTGTGCAATGAGGGGCGGGATGGGTTTGAGGGAGCATGCACAGCTGGCGATTTGTCATCATGACTGACTTGCTATTTTGTCGGTTTTTGGGAGGCTGACCCTGAGCGAGTATGCACAGCATGTCGATCTTGTAGCTGGAGAGGCACGCCCTGAGGCAGCCCTGGTGGCGGCAGCGTTGCCTTAATTCCGCACTTTTCTCCCCCCGGGCTGTTCAGGGCCTCTGTCATTGCAGCCTGGCAGATCACCCGCCCGAGCCTGTTCCCCATGTAGGGCAAGTACGTGTTCAAGCTCATTGCTGTGGATGTGCCCACCCTGTCCGGCCCCGACCAGCGCCTGTTCATCGAGGGCGGGCCCGCCATTTACCAGCGCGGCGGCATCCTGGATGAGCTGAGGGACCCCTTCATCAAGGCCATCGCAGCAGAGGACGCATTCGTGCGGGAGGACGAGGCAGACGACGCGGCAGAGGCCGCCGAGGAGGCGCACGCCGCCGCGAACAAGGCGGCGACGGGCCCGCAGCCCCTGGAGGCCGGGGGTGGCATGTATTTCTGGGAGAGGGTGGCGCTGACGTGGCAGCGAGGGCTGCAGCGGCTTCGCGGCACCCCTGTCCCGCCCGCGTCACATAAGTCGGCGTGACGACCCGGAGGCCGGGCAGCCCTGCATTGCGAACGGCATTCCAGGAACTGCGGTCACCACCCCACACGCACAAGGGCTGCAGTCTCGATGGCGCTGGAGCGCCCCTGGGTCACCCCCTCCCTGGCAGTGCTTGCTTGGCGTGCGGCCCTGTCGCTTCGAGGCGTCTGCCCAGTGGTGATTGTACAATGAGAACGGGAATGGCCCTAGACTGTGCAGGGTGTGCTCCTTTGGCTCACAGGAGGGGAATGTCCCCCGACAGGAACCTGGCTTTGTAAGGCGTGGAGGACGAGAGGATGAAGAAGACAGGGATCCCTGGTACCACGTGGTCTGCCCTGGCCAGCGCCTGCTCCAGCGTCCAGCCCTCCTCCACCCTCTGCCAGGTGGCAGCGTTGGGGCCATAGCGGCTGGGACCCTCGTCACGGACCTCTGGCCACCCGCCATACAGGGCCTGTGTTGGGAGTGGGGGGAAGTAAGGTTTGCAGATGTAAAGAGAGTGAGTACAGCAGTAAGGTAGCCAACGTCGCCGTTCATGAAAAGTGTGATCTGAGCAGATCTACCACCAACATTGTCTAGAAATATGGCAGCGAGCATACTCCTTGTTCTCGATGGCATGTACTCACGCCCGAGTATCCATCCTAGACAACGTGACCCGAAGACTGCCTGGTCCCATTTCACGCTGACATACCTCTGTGAGGGCTTCCAATGGCATGGCCTTGCTTGCGTGCGAGAGGTAGTACACCTCCAACTTGCTTCTGCCATAGTCGCCTGCCACATCCCAATCCAGTGGGGGACCGTCTGGCCCAAACATGCAGTCAAGGTGATCCCTGCGGTGCTTGCATGGACGAAGCCGGCTTGCATGCATGGAAAGAGCATGTCGCAATCAGGCAGCCGGCCAGCCTGCACCCGCCAGCCCCTATACATCTGCCACGCATGAATCACCTGAAAGTGTCCGTTACTGAGAAGTCCTCTATCACATCCTGCTGCATGCTGGCCTCGGGATAGAAGAAGATGACGGGCCAGTGAATGGCACCGTCAGCATCGATGCTAGGCTTACGGTTACCTGAGGTGGGCACGGGAGGAGGTTGATGTCCTAGCAACCTCCATGCATGAAGCTACAGGACACTCGCACACCCGTGCCCTCAACACTGCTCATGGAAAAAAGAAACCAAGTACCATTCATCCAGCCCTGTCCAGGCAGACACTTCTCAAGGCCCACATTTCCCTGTGCCCCAACACGGGCTCACCTACAGAAAACTGAGGGCGTCCCACCCTCCACCCCTTCTCCAGCATCGCAGTTGCGAGGTGCCGTGCTGGAGCTCGCTTCTCCGCAGCTCGCCGCTTCTCCTCCTCCGCACGCTGGGCATCTGTCCGTTCCTCATCGCTGCAACGCTGCCTGAGGCGTGCCACGTCAGCATTGTCAGCATCAAGCCCCAGTCCCTCTTCACACAGGTATCTGCACTCCTCCCATCTCCGCAGCCCTGCCGCAGCCTTGGCTCCCCGCCAGTATGCCTGATGGCAGGAGGGCGAGAACCAAGGCTTGCGTGCGCGTTGTATGGGTGTATGCCGAGGGCAAGGAGACAGCGCTGCGATGCAGTGCACCTGTAGATTCCATACTGCCCACATTTTTCTTTTTTTGCGGGGGACAGCCGACTTCACCCCTGACGGACAAGATCAATAAAAGCCCAATTTTTCGCCCATAGCCTCTCCTTCAAAATCCCACAAAAAGCCCCATTGCCACCCCCTCACACACCTTCACAAAAGTGGGGTCCGCCTTCAGGGCGGCCCGAGCGTCCTCCAGGGCATTCCGGTAGTTGCCCAGCAGCAGGCTGACATGTGCACGATTCCCATACAGCTGGGCTACTAGCGTGGCATTGCTGCATTGCAGCTCCAGGCCCAGAGTGTATTGCTCAATGGCCTGCCGCAAGTAGAATTTCTTCTTCTGCTGCAGGCCTGTTTTCAGTGCTCGGTTGCCTTGCTCCTGCATGGCCATACGCATGCATCTAGCAGCTGAGGGACTGGCTGATGACGCAATGCGGATCGTCCCACCACAATCCTTTCAACCAGCCTCACATCTGCAGTCTCACCTTGAAACTCTCAGCCCGATCCTCTGGTGTGGACTCGTCAATTATAGCCTTGATTGCCATGGCATCTGGGTGCTCTGGGTCATCGGGCAGCTCGTCCCAAAACAATGCTGGGAGGTCTTCATTTCGCAGTCCTGCTTCTGGTGCGGCCATGGCCTTTCCAAGCCCGGTGCTGCGTGAAGTGGGCACACGGTGACCGGCGCGCTGCAGCTAGAGGATTTCCTATGCGTCTACAACTTACGATACCGGTGGCATGTGAATTTCCAAATGAGATACCTTCACTACATATGCATGCCAATGCTGAGCAGTAGGACTCCCGTTGCTCGGTTGGACGAGGGCGCGCGCTGGGGGGATTCATGCTTGCGTGGCGATTCTTTTGCTTACACAATTAATTGATCAGCGATGTCGAGTGAGCTTCCCTCGTCTAGGGTCATGATGCACGACGCAGAAAAGGCTTGGAACCTGCCAATGAAGTGATAGGAACGGGCCTCGTCATCCTAAAAAGTCTGGCGTGGAGTGGGCACGACCCGACAGCCAGGTTTCGGCACTGTCTCGGTCGACCTGAAATAAACGGCGATCATGGCGGACTTGTTCCTCGATGGGCTTTCCCAGTCTCAGAAACGTAGTTTGGCGGTGAGACTCAAATATCTCTTGATTTGTTGGCCCGGGCATGACCTGGTGTGTGTGGAACCTACTGACGACCTGCCCACCTACCTGCAACCCTCCCGCAGATCATCGTGGTGGTGGGAGGCGGAGCGGGGGCCAACCAGATCAAGAAGGCCTTGAGGAGCGCTGCTCGTGAGCAGCAGGAGCTGGCCATGGGAACAGAGAGGAAGGACAAGCCGCTGAAGCACAAGGCTGTTGCAGTGGACGCCATCTTCGCCTCGCGCCTCCGCAAGATCCTGTCCATGTGAGCCTGGGCAATTATGTGGGAGAGGTTTGCCATCCCTTGCAAGGAACATGCCTGCCGCTGACTGGAGAGCCATGCACGAGCCTGCCCATTCTTGGCTGTCATGTCGGGATCTGATATCTGATTGTGTGCTCCTCATTCCCTTTGCGTAGCTGTGTGCCAGGACCACTGTCTGCAGAGGCTGGACTGATCTATGCACAGGGAGGTCTCCTCATAGCCCGCACCATGCTCTCAGACTACATCTCCCGCCTGGAAGGCCAGACTGGGAGGTGTGCTCTGCGGGGCGTCTGTACTGGGCCTGTAGCAAGCACCCAGGGCTGCCCCCCTGCCTTGAAAACAAGTGCCCCTCCCTGTGGCGTGAGGTGCCACCCGCTGCCGCCTCCCTCCGTTGCGTCACCTATCTTGTATACAGGCCTGTTGCCTCTCATCATGGGTCCCCTCCCCATTCTCCCACCCCCCACACGCACAGGTACATCATTTCCTCTGACGGCTCCAAAGTGCGTCGAACCATGGCCCTGTTTGTGGCGGCCTCCATCCCAGCCGCCGTGGTGAACAGTGGGCTGAAGTACATGCAGAAGCGCATCAAGCTGGCCTTCCAGCGCCGCCTGACCCTGCAGCTGCATGAGCTGTACTGCAACAACCGCGCCTACTTTGCGGCCTCCACGCTGCGCGGCCTGACGGGGGCCGACCAGCGCATCACCGAGGACGTGGAGAAGTTCACCTATGCCATCTCCGAGCTCTACTCCTACACATTCAAGCCGCTGCTGGACGTCGTCCTCTTCACGCACTCGCTGTCGGGGATCATGGGGTGAGGGGACTCGGGAATGCGCTGTGAAGAGAGACAGTTGTAGGGGGGATGTGAGTGCAATGGGGGCCTTGGCCAGTGATGTGGTTGGCGCTGAGACACGCCACCGGCCTCAGTCTTGGCATGTGCCCTTTCAGCAGCACCTCCCAGCCCGTCCATGCAGGTATAAGAATCTCCTGTCACTGCATTCCCCACATCCTCCCCCTCACTCCCCCGCATCACAGGTACAAGAGCCAGCTGGCCCTGTATGGCTACTACTTCTGCTGCGCCTCCGTGCTCCGGAAGACGAGTCCCCCATTGGCCCTCATGACAGCCCAGGAGACGGCCCTGACGGGCGCCTTCCGCCAGGCTCACCAGGTGTGGTAGGAAGGGGGGGGGGGGGGGGGGGGCGAGTGGTGCCCTTCACAGGTGTGAGGGTGGGGAGGGGTGTGACGGGGCATCCAGAGGGTTGCGCTGAAGCCAATATGACGGACCCCAGAGGGGTGCCTCGGCCACGCTCGTGTATTCGACCCAACACATCCAAAGCCCTGACCTCCCACTCCCCCCCCTCCCCCCTCCACGCAGCGCCTGGTCCAAAACGCAGAAGAGGTGGCGTTCAACGACCCGCCGGCGGGCATGGCCGAGCAGATGATCCTGAACCAGCACCTGTACCGCATGCTGCGCCACTCACGGTTGTCCGCCTTCCAGCACTTTGTGCAGCAGGTCCTGGATGGCTTCTTCGTCAAGGTATATTGTAGGTTGGGAAGGGGTTCCCTCGCTCTCAAAGCTGCCAGCAGCCCCTGCTTGGCCGCTGGGTGCCTGCGAGCAATTCCAGTTGGACCCTGCATCTGATGCACCCCCGACTGCTGATTCTCTGGGCCCCTTTCCCGATACCACGCTGCGCAGTACGGCGCCACCGCCGTGGCCCTTCTGGTCTACGCCCTGCCCTTCATCTTCGACAGCAACAACCCGCGGGCGGGGTCGGGGCACGCCACCCAGAACTACATCCGCGCCATGCGCTTGCTGGGCAACACCTCCAAGTGCGTCGGCTTTGGTGAAGTATCTGGAGGGGAGGCTCAGAGCATGATTGATCGTGTCTCATGGGCAGCAAGAAAACCAGCTGGCTGAGGCTGGGCGGCGGCCTGCGCGCCTGGCGTCGTGCCCTGCCACCTTCCAATGCAGCCATGCAAACCTGGTGGTGGTCGTCGACCGCAGGGCTGTCCGCCGCGCCCAGGTAATCCCGATCACCAAGCCGCCCTGCCTGATCATTGGGCCCCCCCCTATCCTGCAGGGGCATCGGCGACCTTGTGCTCATATACAAGCGTATAACCGGCCTGGCGGGGCACACCTCCCGCGTGTCGGAGCTCCTGGAGCAGGCAAGCGCTGGTGATGTTGTTGGTGCATGCAAGACCTCACGGGGCCTGGGCTTCAGTGCAAGGCGGCGTGGTCTCCTGATCGATCACCGTGTGCTCGCGTCCCTGGATGCTCCATCACCTGGCATGCTCCCCGGGTCACTGGGTCGAAACCCTGTCACCAGCCTCCATCCGCCCCGGACCCTGCCCACAGGTCAAGAACCTGAGCAGCGACAACCCCGAGCGCGTGCACACGCAGCTCTACCTGCGCAACGTCTCCTCCTCCGGGTCGCTGGCGCACGCGGCGGGGCCCGGCCCCGCCGGGCTGGATCCGCTGCCCGAGCCGCGGCGGCATGAGGGCCCCACCATCCGCTTCGACCGCGTGACGCTGACCTCGCCGGACGGCACGACCCTGGTCCGCGGCCTGACCTTCGACGTGACCCCCGGGCGCAGCGTCATGATCATGGGCCCCAACGGATCGGGCAAGTCCTCCCTCTTCCGCGTCGCGGCGGGGCTGTGGCCGCTGCAGGCAGGCGAGATCACGCTGCCCCCCAAGGGCCAGCTCTTCTACCTCTCCCAGCGCCCCTACCTCGTCTCCGGCACGCTGCGCGACCAGCTGCTCTACCCCGAGCCGCCGCGCGATGTGCTGGCGGTGGCCTCCCCCGCCTCCCGCGCGCGCGTCGCGCCCTGGGCCACCTCCGCCGCCTACCCCTCGCGCGAGGCGCTGGACGAGCGCCTGGCGCAGTGCCTGGAGGCCGTGGAGCTGGATGGCCTGGCCGCGCGCGGCCGCGGCCTGGACCAGGTCCAGGCCTGGACCGAGACCCTGAGCGGCGGCGAGAAGCAGAGGCTGGCCATGGCGCGCCTGCTCTTCCACGCGCCGGCCTACGCCGTGCTGGACGAGTGCACCAGCGCGGTGTCGGCCGACGGCGAGCTGGCGCTGTACCGCGCCGCCATCCGCGCAGGCATCACCGTGCTCAGCATCGGGCACCGCCCCGCGCTCAAGGGCTTCCACTCGCGCATCGTGCACTTTGAGGGCGGGGATGGCGGGAAGGGCTGGACCGTGGAGGAGCTGCGCGACAGGGATAGCGACGGGCTGGCAGGGACGGGGGCCTGAGGGTGGGTGTACTGGGAAGGAAAGTTGGCGTCATGGCCGGAGCAGAGCGACGGGCGCAGGGTGGGCTGGTGCAACCCTTCAGACGACGGGCGCAGGGTGGGCTGGTGCAACCCTTCAGACGACGGGCGCAGGGTGGGCTGGTGCAACCCTTCAGACGACGGGCGTTGCGGCTGAGTGGCCTGTACATGAGACGATGGGCGCCTGGCAGTCCCCCCGGCAACTGAGCAACAAGCACCACCACCAGGTGCCGTGCGTCTCGACGATGAGCGCGGCAACATCCGTCCTGCTGTGACCAACACGCTCTGCCTGACCCAACAATCTCCCCCCTTCCCAAGCAACAGAGAACCTTTTCACAAACGTTCCCCTTGACTGTCATGTTTTTCACCGAGTTATCCCCTTGCAACCCTGCTGCTCCATTGTCGGTAGCACATGAAATAGTACCAAGACACGCTGCCGTGCCTCAGAAGTCTTTTCAGGATGGGACAGATTCCTTTGCACAGAATCAATCCCGTCATTTCCCGGCGGGCTTCAGCCATTTGGGCAACGCACCCGAGCGCGCCGCCCCACCCGTCGGAGGCCTACGCGGATGAGCCGCGGCCGGCAGCTGTGGCATCGCCTCGCGCTCCTGAGGACCCCGCCCGATCCCCTGCTGCCCGGCCTGAGCGAATCCCGGGGCGGGCGCGCCGCGTTGCACGAGCGCTTCCACCTCTGGGCGCAGCAGGGGCCCTGGGGCAGGCCCGCCCTCCACTCCGACGTGGACCCTCGCGGCGGGCAGCAGCTCCGCCTTCCACAGGCTGGTGCCGTCCTGGCGGGGCAGGAGCATCTTGGGCGGCGTCACAAACAGGTGGAAAGAGAGGCCGGGGAGCAGGGCGGCGGCCACCAGGTCGTACAGGCGGCCCGTGGTCTCCCGGGCCTTGAGCACGGCCTGCAGGCAGTGCCCATCGGGCAGGACCAGGCGGATGGGAACTGGGGTGTCTGCCTGGGCCTCGAAGCGCGCCTGCTCCTCCCGCTCCCGCAACTGGAGCGTGGGTAAGAGACGCGTGAAGGAGAGGGGATGAGGACTGCAGGCTGACATCTGCCAAGCCAACAAGGGGCACATCTACCACTCAGATCCAGGCACAGGCTCTCCAGGCCCGCATCAGCGCCCACCCATCACATGCATGCAGCGCACCTGCCGCGTCTTCAGCACCGCACCAGCCTGCTTGGCCTTCCGGGCTGCGTACCCCGCCACCACATGCCGGTAGTCGCTCTCATTGAAGTCGTAAAAGTCATCTGGGGGATCCTGGTTGGCGGCCTCGACGCTCGTGGCCTCGTCTTGCGTGTGAAAGACATGGACCTTGCTTCCAAATAAAGCCACTGATGGGTCGTCCTCAAGGTCCTCTGCCTGAACGGCCGGCGTGGTGGTGTTGGAAGCGCCCTCCACGCCGGCGCTGTGGGTCTCTGCCTGGGCATGCGCCTGCATGCGACTCGTACCATTGCCATGGTCTGGTGCGGTCGACTCAGGTTGCCAAGAAGGTCCCGTGGGCTGAGCATCGTCGGGCTGAAATGCTGGGGCCCTAACTGCAACAGACGGCGCACTGCAGCTCGCAGAGGGGGCAGCAGCGGCAGGGCTGGCTTTCAACTCCCGGGAGTCCCTCACACCCAGCGCAACCTCTTTGCCTGAAGGAAGGGGTCACGTACCAGATTGAGATGGGCCACTGCCCATGGGCTCCTGGCGTCTCCTCTGCAGCCCCACCTGATGCCAAGCTGTATCCGGCCCCGTCCACTCACCAGTGAGAAGTTCAAGTCTGGAACCAGAGGGTAGATTGGAGAAGCGCAAGGGGGCATTGAGGTCCACGGGGGACCCCTTGTACATGAGCTTGCAGTCCCCAGCCTGGATGGACTTGAGGCCGAGCTGGGAAAGCGCCTGCTGCACAGCGCCAGACATTGGCGCCATAGGCCCGAGCTTGATCTGTGTCGATTTCCCTGCAGGATGTGATTGCTTTGATGTCGATGACAATGCGGTATGCTCAGAGAACACGTCAGTCCACTGCCATCGCTCAGCCACTGCCATCGCTCAGCGCAGTCGTGATCACTTACCCAGCGCCTGCACCCATAACGTCGTCATCGCGCACCAAAGAGGAACCACACTAATCGAGATTCTGAGAATATGTTGGCTTGGTATTCTGGACGCATGGCCCGCCATACCGTTTGCTGATCCCGGGGTTCACCGACGTGGCACTACCACCGGGGGCGCGACCATGCATGACATCGAGAGCGGTGCAGGAGACGTTGAGACCGTTGCATCCTTGCTCATTGTGACACACCCAGGAGCCTGAGTTCTATTGCCTGATTGGGCACTGGTCGTGGCAGGGCGCTGAGTGGGTGACCATGCAGAGGCTCCAAGCACTCCAGCGTGTCCTCACTCAGCAGGTCAAGGTCGCATTGCAGCGAGGCTTCGCGAAGAACGCAGGAGGGGCAGGAGCTGAACTGGAGGCTTCCGTCAGCAGCAGCACTTTGACTGGCAGACAGGAGCACGTCCGTTTCGTCACCCCTGACAACTCTGGTCGCAACTACGCACACCGGGTTCTCGCCCGGCAACTGCAAACCACGGTGCGTCGATGTTGGAAATTCTAGATTGATTGCAAGAGAGGGATGGTGCCTGTGACTGATAAGAAGAGTGCGTGTGGGGGAAACGGTCCCCTTGCCCTCTCTCACATCATGCGCCACCCCCACATTCCAGAGGGAGGCGAACAAGATTCGCAGGGGCAGGACCGCGTCCCTACAGGCTCGAGATGCCGCCCGAGTAGAGAGGTGGCGGCAGAGGGCTGCATGGAAGGCGGAGGCGGCTGCTGGAGCCACTTCCGCGTAGTGACCATCCATATGGACAGCTTGGCTTGGAAATGGCCTCTAAGATGGGCATTCCTTCCACTTCCAGAAGCTCCATCATGGTCAAAACACTCGCACTCTTCCTGATCACTGGAGCTGGCGGCGGCTTCAGTGCATTGCTCTATTTCTGTGTCTGCCGTGAAGGGTTACATGGCAGCCCCTTTCCCCCCAGTGGACTCACTGAGACAGACATTGTGCCTGCAATGACAGCACCGCTATCGCCACTCAGGATCCAGATCTTTCCGTTGGAACAGAGCGACAAAAAATCCATCTGTGCCATCCTGGTCAGGATCTGCGTGCATTGCATTGAGCAGCGCCGGGTTGAGATCGTGAACCTTGCAGACGAGGCTGCAAACTATCGCTGATCAGGTTGCTTCCGAGCAAGCACTCCTCGTTCCCAGCCATCTCACACTGGTCACAGGATCACTCCAACTTTCCCACCACCCGTCCTCAATCACACATTCACACACCTGTCCGTACGAGGCACTCCGCCCTGGGGCAGGCGCCGGCAATGCCCCGGCGATGCCATCCCGGCAGCGCGGGCGCCAGCTCCATGCCTGCCGCCTCCGCATCCGGCAGCACAGCCGCGACCACCGCCTCGTTCTCCCGCACGTGCACCGAGCAGGTGGAGTAGGTGAGGCGCTGCAGGCCCGGAAAAGAAAGCGCGTGCCGCAGCGCCGCCTCCTGGAAGGCCGCCAGCGCCTCCACGCGCGGCGCGGCCTCCCCCAGCGCCCGCCGCGCCGCCGCCCCCGGCAGCTGCGCGTCGGCGCGCGCCGCAGCCGTGCCCGACCCGGAGCAGGAGGGGTCCAGCAGGATGCCCTGCACGTGGGCGTGCCGCGCCGGGTCCAGCGTCAGGAAGTCGGCGCAGCGCACCGCGACGATGGCCCCCGCGCCCGTGCAGTCCACCGACGCCTGCAGCCGCTGCGCACGCTGCGGGTCCCGGTCCAGGGCCAGCACGCTGCCGCCCGCGCCCAGCAGCGCCGCCAGCTGGGTGGTCTTGTTGCCCGGAGCCGCGCAGGCGTCCAGCAGCGCGGCGCCGGGGGGTGGGCGCAGTGCTGCGGCCGGCATGCAGCTGGCCCGACTCTGCAGGACCAGGCGCCCGGAGCCCACCCCGGGTAGCGCGTGCAGGTCGGTGCCGGGGGGCAGGCTGAGGACGGAGGGGAGCAGGGGGTCGGGCTCGACCTGGGTGTGCCCCGCGTCGCGCAGCTCCGCCACCGCCTCCTCCACGCTGCAGAGCAGCGTGTTGACCCGGACGCAGCGGGAGTGGGGCAGGGAGGCCGGCGCCGCCGCGCTGCCGGCGGGGAACCTGGCCGCCACCAGCTCCTCCGCTGTCCCGACCCCGGCAGCTGTCAGCGCAGCTGTCAGGGCTGTCTCCAGTTGCTCCTGGGGGTGATCGCAAGGGAATAATTGATGCATGAGAGTTACTTGCCACGCGCTGCGACAGACCAGAGGGTTTTGATATCTCCTGGACCTCATTGAGATCTGCAAAGTATACTCTACGAGGTTAAATCAGAATCCTGCGGCTGCATCTTGCACACCTCTCCCAAGCACAGTCAGCACACTCACCCTGGTCGACAGGACTGCCCTCTCCGGGGCGCCTATGGGTCGCGGCGGCTGACCAAAGAGCATGTCGTACACCAGGACGTAAGCCACGGGGGCACTGAGGCGAGGGAACTTGGTCAGGAGTCCGGCTTCCTCCACCAACTCCTGGATGACAAGGAGGTGGCGCAGGCACTCGCAGGTGACCGCATGCGTGGCTCGCTTGGCCTCGATGTGTGGCGCAAGGGTCAGCGTCTTGACGCTGGCCCCCCCCTTGCCCGATGCATCCGCCGCAAGCAGGCGCTGCATGGCGTAGGCCGCCTGGCGGTGCACGACCGAGGCTGGCGTCCAGGCTTTGGGCCCTGCAGGTGGTGCTGGCCTGGCATGCTTGGCCTTTGGGGGCCCTTTTGCCACATGATGGACAGGTGTCTTTACTTTGGTGGATCTCAAAGCTCCTGACTTGGGTTTGGGAGCTTTGCGTTCCCCAGAGGCGCCATTCCCACGCTTCAGCAGGCTCACCGCCCGCTTGCGAACCATGCGTCCGACACCGCTGCTGGGGACCTCGGCCACTCGATCGGCTGAGGCCTAGGCATGAGTTAAGGGGTGGTTGTGATACGTTTTTAATTCGACGTATATAAGCTTCTTGTAAAAGGCTCTCAATGTCGCTTCGTTCTGTCTGTGTCTGTACACGAGTGCACTTGCACTATGGAAGGACACGCGCGCGCGCGTCGCATGAGGGTGGGGGGGCGCCCTCTAACCCAGTCATCAACACCAAGTCCTGGAAGTCAGGTTTTCCTCGCCGAAGCTTGGCTGGCACTGTCTGTGCCCATAGACCCTGGAAAGAGGGGCACATGTGCAATCGGGATGGGTGTGATGCGCCGTCTCGATGCACCGCCCGACGTGGCGTCCACAGGCAGGGCAGCTTGTGGAGGCATGTTGGAGGAGGCCTGCGTTTGAAAAGGAAATGACCTCTCATCCAGCACATGATTGAGATGGAAGAAAGGATGCAGGCCAGCAGATCAAAGGACACACATCGCCTGGGGCGACAGCACTGGGCATTGCAAAGCAATGTCCTCCACCAGAGGTGGCCAGAACCATGAGAGCCTGACCTGGCACGCTGCCGAAAACCTTGCCTGCGCACTCCCGGTGAGAGGCTGCACAGGCGTGGGGACCAGTCTTCGCTTCGCTGGCTGGGCGGGCCACCTCGCAGCCTGGAGCGGGTCGCAGGCGGTCGGCGGCTCCGACGGCGGCGCGGAGGGCGGGGCAGGGAAGGTGAAGCTGTCGTCTGCGCTCGACTGATCCGCCGCCGCCACGGTGGGCGCGGGTTGGGGCTGGCACGGGACGGCCTCGGGGACGATTCGCCGCGCTTTCTTCAGTACAGGGGTCGGACAGGCGGCTGGGCGAGCGTGCTCCTGCTCGGGGCCCTGGGCGGGTGCCGGGCCGGGCGGCAACACGCTGTCGAGCTGGTCCAGCTGGACCGCCGAGTCCGGCAGCGCCACCGCTGCATCAGCTGGCTGCGACCCCGGCGCGGGCTTGCCCACCCCTCCCAGCCACCACTCGGCCTCGCCACCGGCCAGCGCCTCGCCCAGCTCGCCCGGCTCGAACACGGCGATGCTGCAGTAGCAGTCGCGGGAGGACACCGCCAGGTAGCGCGCATCACCGGACCACGCCAGGTCGGTGATGGAATCGTAGTGCAAGGCGCCCAGCAGGCACAGCGGGGTCGGCGAGGCGGTGTCGTATATGACCACGCTGTCCAGCGTCGCCACCTGCATGGGGTGCACGTCCACCGGGTCAGCATGCTCTGTGAAGAAGAGAAGGCCAGCCTCAACGTCAACCCTCTCCTGGTGTGCATGGCTGACGAGCTGGGCCGAGCATGCACTGATGGTGGGGGGGGGGGGCAATGATGAATGCACTCCAAATACATCCAGTACTCCTAGCGACTATCTGTGAGGAGGGACACCGAACACACGGCTGTCCTCCAGGATCTCACCGCAAACACCATGCGGTAGGGCAGGTCGATGGCTTGCCCACCCACGTCCTCCCTGCCAGAAGGCTCTGGTTTCTTGAATAGGACGGGGCAGAAGCGGACGGCCACCACCGGCTGTTGGGCAGAGGGGGCCAGAGGGAAGACTTTGGACCTAGAATACCCCGCGGAAATACATCGGGGCACTGCGCAGGGCCACCCGCGCCATGCTGCCGCGCCCACACCTTGGAGTGGCCCGGGAGGTGGAGGAGGGGCGCATCCCATTCGTCGCGCGCGTACACATGCACTGCGTGCCCCTCCTTTCCTCCCTCCTCGAATCGGTGCACGCCAGCAGGGACGGCGAGCATGGACCCTGGGGTGGCGGGTGCATGGGCGGGCGCTGGTCAGGGTTCAGCATGGTCCAGGGTGCGTGCAGGGGACAGGCCTGCACGCAACGCCCTGCTGACTGCCAAGGCTAAGGTTGTGGCAGCATCTATCGTGTTGGGGGGCCTCATTGCCCGTCTCCCATTGAGGCTTGGTGACGTCCCAATCCCAAAGCCTGCCAGGGTGCTCACCATCTGGGGACCAGGCCAGCCGGCGAAAGAACGAAGGGAGGGACTCGTCGTGGAAAAGAGGCACCTTGACTCCGCCTGGTCGGGTTGGGTATCACCAGAGAAGGTGGGAGCAGGGTGGCAGCACAGGGACCGGCAGAGGTGAGCCGCTTCCTCATCGCACTCCAGCCTGGGCCCATTGCCATCCCGCGCTGCATGCACCCCCCCGCACTGCTCACCCCGGGTGGCGCCCTTGCTCAGCGTGGCGCAGCAGTAAAGATCCTTGGCAGTGGCAGCTGCCGTGGCGGCCGCGGCTTTTGCCCGAGCCTTCTTCCCCACCGCCGGCGGCTTGAGGCGATACACCCTGAGGCGTGGTAATGCATGAGGGCCGGTCACTCTCCATGCCCACCTCGCATGGGTTGGTGGGACTGAGGGGCTCAGGAGCCCTCGTGACCTGGCCGGACTCGGGGCCTTGGGTCTTCACCCCAGCTGCTCGGTACCCTTGGAGCTGTGCATCAACCATGCCAGAAGGTGGTGCTTCCCAAAGGGCCAACCACAATCCCCCCCCCCCCCCACTCAATAGCAGCCCACCTGCACGTCCGATCCGCGCTCTGGGTGACTACAAACTGGCGCACAGGGTCCCAAGCGACCCCCTGCACAAAGTGCTTGTGGTGCGCCAGCTGCGCCAGCATGGCCCCGCGCTTCCTGTCGCCCATGTCCCACACAATGGCGCGGTTGTCGATGGAAGCGGAGACCAGGGCGGACCCGTCAGAGGACCAGCCCACATCCATGATGTCATCCGTGTGACCCCTGCATGGGAGGCAACCGAGGCGGGGTCCTCTAGGCCCGTGAGCGACTGCCAGGGCAAGAGGGAGTTTGCTCTGATCAATAGACTATGGACCCCCATCCCAGCTCCTACCGCAGGACCGCAGCCCGCTTCATGCACGGCTCCTCCTCCTCAGCAGACAAGTTTCCTCGTGGCGCCTGGGCATCTGCGCAAGGCTGCCAGATCAGCATCTCCCCTCCATCGCCACTGGACACCAGGTCACGGCCTGAGGGTGGTTGCAGGCGATCCAGGGTTCCACTATTTACATGTAGAACTCAATCGCAACGTCCATCAACAGATCCCACTCGCAATCAATACCAACACACAGAACGTGATCCACAGATCAGACCCAGGACTGACCTGTCGGGGAGAAGCGGATGCAATTCACCGTCTTGGAGTGGCCGGAGAGGGAGGCCGTGTGCTGAATGGTGGCGTACCCATCCTCACCCTGAGAGACCTGCGTCATGCGGTCGGCGATTCCGGGAGCGATGAGGCATCTGTTCCTTGCTATATATCCCACCAGCACATTTCCACAAAATGACACCGTACCTGCCAGAGCTTGATCTCCTTGTCTGCACCGGCTGTTGCGAGGCAGGCAGCTCCCGAGAAATCCACAGAGTAGACCGGCTCCTTGCCATGCCACACGATCTGCAGAGTCTTCACCTTCATACTGGGAGATATAGTATTCAGAGGAACGATGCTGCCCGTCCATCTGAACACGAAACTTGTTCGCCCCGGTGTCGAGCAGTTTGTATCCGATTTGAAGCGCGCTGCATCGGCTCAACAAGAAAGGAGTGCCATGTCGCAGTTTTCAGCACCATCCGACACAGTCTGTGCCCTGACAGATTCTCAGGGGCGGTACTCAATCTGTTTCAGAAGCTGCATCCGATATCATCTTCAATGGTGCGCTGCTGGTTAGACATTGACATCGGCGATGCTGCCCAATACGCCTTGGAGTCACGTGCATTTGCCAGGGCGCAGGCACTGTTCGACACGATAAAAAGCCAGGTCGGTTATAGGCAACGTACTGAGTGGGTTCTCTCAATTAAAGTGCCCACTCATTCCGCAACATTGCTTCGCGGTTGCGCATGCTGTAGTACGGCTGGCCGGAGGAGTTAAGCAGCTTGGATGAGGAACAGCGTGATCTCCTCACATCAGCATGTGATAGTGACCCTTCCTGGCGAGATCAGGTGCGATCCCGGTGCTGGATTGAGGTGTCAGATCAACTGCTGGCTTGTTTGGAGCGATACTGTGCGCGATTCTTCACCTCATTACCTTGTGTCCCTTGTATCTGCAGGGCACCATGCAAGCCACCCCGCCCACCCCTCTGAGGGCGGGGCGCCTCACCATAGAGCTGTTCACCGAAGCTGCACCTCGGGCCTGTGAAAACTTCAGATGCTTGTGCACAGGGGAGCGAGGGAAAGGGAAGAGCAGTGGAAGGCCACTGCACTTCAAAGGCACAAAGTTCCATCGCATCGTCAAGGGCTTTGTGTGCCAAGGTGGTGATATCGTCAAAGGTAGGATTGGCGTTACACCCTCATTCTTGGTGTTTGTGGTTTGTTCAGGAACTGACGGCGGTGCTCGCATGGTCAGCTTGAGTCTCCCTGCAGGCGCCCACTCATTGCACTCCCCTCCCCTCAGGCGACGGCTCAGGTGGGGACAGCATCTATGGCAAGCCCTTCAACGACGAGAAGGGGGGCCTCAAGCTCAAGCACGATGCAGCGGGCATCGTATCCATGGCGAACAGTGGGTAGGTGGAGTGCTTATGGGTTTTAGAGCAATGTAGGTTCCCAGCAGCTTCCTCACGCCCGTCCTCATTGCAGCCCATCTCTTCAAAAACCCCAACACTTTGCCGTGGTGTGCAGGAAGAACAGCAACACCTCCCAGTTCTTTCTTACGCTAGGCCCCGCTCCAGCATGCGACGGCAAGCACACTGTGTTTGGAAGGGTCGTGGAGGGCCTGCCCATCCTCCAACGAATAGGTGAGGTACATGTAGGCGTGATATGTGATGAAAGGTAACGACAGGATCCGGGCCATGATGCCTGCGCAGGCAGGGCGACATCCCCTGAGCTGACGAGCCACTGCATGGTCTACCAAGGGGCTCGGTGTGTCAGCACCATCAGCATGTGCACATCAACCCCCACATGTTGGCATTCCCACTGCCAGATGCTCTGGCGGCCAGCAAGGACGGTGATCCCCTGACGGACGTATGCATCTCCGACTCTGGTTATGATGGCTAGGAGAAACTGGCATGTCTAGCCATGGCAACCACTCTTTGTGTCTGGGCCGGTACATAGGCAGCCGTCGAAGCATGTGGGCTTTATTGTTTACGGCATTGCGAGGGATTGGAGAGGGGGAATCAAGTCGGGGTACACTGGGTGGCAAAAGGGCGAGGTGATTTGCGGGCAACATGCAGGACACACAGCGTGAACCAAGGGACAAGCTGGGATGGTCAGTGCGGACAAGAACATGGAAAATGGGGCACTGGGAGCCCCTGTATAGCATGCAGAGGAGGATCTGGTCCTCAGGGCTGCGGTACCCAGACAAGGGCAGATGCAGTCTGACTCCCCCCTTCAGACGGGGCAGTATGCCACCTGCTTGTCGCCATACTTTGACTGGCACTGCCGCTCCATCAGCGTCGTCCTGCGCCCCGGCCGCCCGGGCGCGGACCTCTGGCGGCGGTAGGCCAGCGCGGCGATCAGCGCCGCTGCCGCGACCGCGACAAGCAGCACCACCTTCCCGTACCGCTCCATCCAGAAGATGAGGGGGGCGTCCCCGGCGTGCCAGCTGCTGCCGTGCAGGTGGTAGAACAGGGCGTCCCCCGAGGCGTCGTACTTGCCGTAGTCGGCCTTGGAGATGACGGCCACGGCGGCCAGGTCTGGGAAGTGGCTCAGCAGGACCGTCAAGAACATGGGACCGGTGGTGAACATGACCTGCACGTACTTGATGACCAGCCACAGGTTCCAGCCGCGCAGCGCGTGCACGGCGGCGTGCATGAAGGCGGCCCCCGGCGCGGCGGCCATGACGTCGTTGGAGATGCCCACAGGGTGGGTTAGGGGCGCGGTGAAGGGCGCCGCCAGCAGCGGGTCCACCCGCTTGCGACACCCCATGTCCAGGTCGATGTAGACGCCGCCGTGGTGGTACAGGATGAAGTATCGGATGGCGTCCACACGCTGAATGACGTACGGGTAGGCCAGGTAGGTGGGCAGGAACCAAGGGAACTCGAGCTGGAGGGGAAGAAAGAGGGAGGGGAAGGATCGGCACATGTGTGGCCTTGGGTGAGGTGTGCGACGCCCTGATGTGTGCCAGCGCCCAAGTCCAGGCGCAGACGCCCTGCCACCCACAGCAACAGGAGGTCAGGGGCAGGCATTCTAGGTGCCTCGCCTTGAGCAGGAGGTGGAGTCTACCTGGTGCTCAGAAATTGAATCGCCCCCCCC